CAGAGTCAGGCCTGATTCTGACTTGTTACACGACTGCTTTGACATTCCTCTGGTCTCACATCAGGTTCCCAATCCCAGCCCTTGCTGATCGCACCAGGCAGGACAGAGTCACCTCCCCTTAGCACCTGCGGGGCAGCACTTTGGCTTTGAAGGGTGCAGCTCATCCCTCGCTGGGACATTCAGCTCTTCCAGCTCCTGCGTAGCCAATACTCCTGGGTGCTTTCCCTTCAGGCAGCCCCTGCTGCTGAGCAGCCAGGACGAGAGCAGCCTCTGCCTCGGAGTTGATCCCGAGCGCAGGCAAAAGCTGTGGGGAGGGTCCCAGAGACACGCTCTGCTCCTTGCCCGGGGCCTCTGCCCCAGCTTCTCCTCCAGCAGCCTCTGGCTGGAACGTTTATCTGTGCTGCACTTCTCAGGAGCAGGGACGAAAAGAAGGACAGAAGAATAAGCAACCCGAGAAAGGCTATTTTAAATCTGGCAGACAGGGCTTGTGGCAGCCCAGAACATCAGCTGGATAGATCCTCCTGCTCCATAGCAAAGTGAGGAGAATGTCCCCACAAGGTGGGTCTGTCACGTCGGACAGCCCTGCTCGGCCAAGAGCCGTGTGGTCAGCCCTGCCAGCCAGACCTCCGTGCCCCGAAGAGGAATCTTTCATCTTGGGGAGGGAAAGGGATCGAGTCTGCAAACTGAACAAAACCCAGAGGCGACTGGAGTACAGCTCTCAGCAGGCAAACGAGAGCTAAGCCACGTCTGCCTGGAGCCTGCAGCTGCACTGGCAAAGGCAGGGGGGCCAAGAGGCCTCATCTCTGCGAGAGCTTCTGGGCTGCCTGCCTGCGCTGCTCTGCGGGAGGAGCTGGCGGGGCCGCTCGTCTCGCGGAGATAATAGAGCTGCGGCGGCCGCTCCGGCCCCACCGGGAGTGCACCGCGACCTGCTCGCCCCGCAGGGGCAGGGAAACGGGCAGAAACCCGGGCTGGAACGTGCGGAAGTAGCGTAAAGTACTCTGCGAAATAACGGGTCGTTTTAAAACCCTCCCTTTGAAATTATGGAGTCAGTAAACTACCGCAAACCGAATCTCTGTCCGCAGATTGCAAGGGAGCGTTTCGCCTCTCCAGACCCGGGGCGCGCGTTGGGCAGACGTTCCGGTAGGATTTCGCACGGATTTATTTACACCTTCCCTTGGCAGAAGGACAGGAGAGTTGGCGGGTGCTTTATTCAAATTGCGGTGGCCCCTCTCGAAGCCGCTGTGCTTGACAGAGGTTGCAGTTCTGATACCACACGCAGGCTGGAGTGCATAGCTGTATTTTGCCTTTTAAATAACAGGTTATCCTTTTTATAAATTAATTTCAGCCTAATGGCTTCTGTTAGGTCTCAAGGCTTCAGTGCAGAACTAGCAGGAACTAAAAATACGTAACGTAGCACACAGAACTCTTCCCCAGCCTACTTACACAGTACCCAGCCGACTGTTTATTCTTTGTGACTCAGAAGAGTAGGATATGCAGATAACCAGACAAATAAACATCCACTTCCAGTTTCCTTCTTGAGAATGTTAATTTGTTTTCCTTATGGGTAGACAGAAGCACAAAATAATGACCTTTCGTGCTAGAGTCAAGTTAAAATTCTGACATTATAAAAAAAGATGCAACCTGAGGTAAGACCCCTTGAACGTAGGATTTAAATTTGTCAAAGGCGCAGTGAAGAACTGGAGAATAAAATGGACTTTCTTTGTGTTCCTCCGCTCAGCAGGGGCCTTGCTTTGACTTGGAGACTTGCTGTTATCATAGCACGTATTCATTATCACCTGCAACAGCAGTATGAAATATATTCCGAGGTAACTTTCCCTGTAAATAATGAACAATTAAATTCCTGTAATTCAGGTTTACAGTATGAAAAATCGCACTGCATTCGAGCAAAAAATTCAGGAACTTGGTTCATAGCGAATATTTGAAGAGGCAGATATTTTATAAAAAGATTAAAATTGACTGAAAATATTTAAGAAAAACCCAATTAATTGGTTGAAGAATCAATAGTAGGTTTCTGTCTGTACAAGCCGTGGTACTATCTTTCAGGAAATGCAAAAAGCATTCTGATTTACACAAATTGTGAAGTCTAATATTGGGCTGTTAAGTGCACTGAATTTTGTATTATTCATTTGCTGTGTACAATAAACTACCTGTGGTGTAAAGGCTATTGATTCTTTTGCATTAGAGCGCAGTATAATGGTCCACATTAATGTGTTTCAAAAAGATTTTTAAAACTAAGTGTTGTCTTATGTTCTAGAAAAGACTTCTAATGTATTGGTTATATACACTCGGATCTAAATCAAACCTACTGGTACGTGTGTATATTTGCTTAATTACCACAGTCTTCACGGAGTTGGACGGCAGGTGAAGCTGGTCCCTGGGACCTTTTCTAATGGTATTTGTACGTCTGAGCACAGAGAAAGGCTCCGCCGATACCCGCAGCGCAGCGCAGCGGGGTCCGTCACCGCACCGAGGGGTTATAAGCATTTGTCGTTCTCCTCGACACCCCCCTCGAACAGGTGAGCGGTTGCCTCGGACTCTGACAGCAGCTGGAAATGGTCTGACTGATGGAAATGTCAGCCCTAAAACCAGCCTAAATCCCTGCGGAGCGAGGCCTGACTCAGGCCACAGACCTGCTGGCGCTGGGCAGGGCTGCGGGAGCGCTCCCCGCTCCAGGCCTCACCCTCACCTTCCTCACCGTCGGAGGAAGCTGCCCGGCTTTGCCGAGGGGAGGGGGAGGGCACGTCTCGGAGCAGTCACCCGTTTTTCCCAGCTGGGCTGTTGCTGTCCCCACGCAGTGCTCCCCCCGTGACAGACCCCTCCTGCTCCCAGCACACGGCACTTCTCGGGGCAGAACCGTCCTCCACAGGCTTGTCCAATCTCCTTCCTCAACTGTTGATAGGTTTGACCTCTGAGTACCCCGTAGCGATCAGGCAGGAATAGTACGCGCTTAAGGCCACAATCTTTGTAGGGATCTCTACGTTCTGCCAAAATCTAAACAATAATAATTCATGTAGGGGCAGGAAAGGGCTCCAGCTTACTGATACACTTAGGAAAAACATGTCTCAAAAAGCCAGAAAGAAATGAGGGGAGATCCAGCTGAGAGAGAAGCATCTCGGGAACTCTTGACTTAGGTAGAAAAAGACAGGCTAGTTCTTCCCTTCAAAATATCCTAAACAAAACAAACAGTGCTTCTTCCTGTTTCTCACAGTGTTTTTCCCAAAGCAAATCCACTCCCTAAAAGCAAACATGACTTGCTGTAGTATTCCCAGATTTTAGACAGGGGGAAGCTTCAGAGGTTGAATAGCGATGTTGGAAATTCTCATAGCGCTTCCCCCAAACTCTGGAAAATTCCAGCCGGTATTTGGTCAAGATTGTTCTTGCCCAATGCTCTCTGCTTACTTTCATGGTTTCCTCTTCTTCCTACGTTCAGTACAAAGTGCCCTGAGACCCACTACCCCAGAAGTGATCCGCTGTCCTAGAAAAACACACGGTATCTCTACTATTAATTTTTGTGCTAGACCCTGTCAGTTGGATACATGAAAACCCACATGATTTCATCCAACAGGCAGACACATGACAGTTCATAACTGCTAGTTGGATGTTATTTGAAGATAAATCCCTCCAAGTTCCCTAATTCCAGGTAACTTCTGAGCCGTGGTACCATGTCTTTAGCAGCTCTTGACAATCTCATGCTTCTTGGTTATTTTGATAGATTTTTAAAAAACATTTTAGCAAGAGCTTGATGCATTTCTTTAAGCTTATTGTAAACCAAAATAAGAAATGGCAGCCTAAGGCATCTGCTTTAGTGTGAATGCCAATGGTTTTTCCTCACTAAAAATCTCCCGTTGTGGCTGTCAAAGAGGCACTAGTGGTAGAAGTCACACGTTAAGAGGAAAGTCCCTGCTATGTCCTCTATTCCCTCTCAGCCTCAGTTTACAGCTACTAAAACCCGAAGAGCCAAGCGACTAGAAGTACGAGTTGGAAATTTATCTATGTAGGAACAGTCCCCCTCATGAAATTTCCAGACGCTGATGTTTCTAGTCAAGCCAAAAAATGCCACTTGAATCACTTCCCTACAAGTCTTCTGGCACTTCAGCTTTTTTCCCGAGTAAGAGGATGGGGAACCAGATGCGAAAGTCAAGGCACGTAGAGAAAATAACCTGGGCCGACCTGTAGTAAAATCCAGACTCATTCTCAACTCACTTGCTTTGTCCTTTATTCCAGAGTAAAAGTGTTGATCCTGTGTTGTTAGACAGCATCATCTAACACCACAACTTCCAATAAAATACCCTTTAAAGTTAGAAGCCCTTAAGCATTTCTTTCTGATGTGTTTTGCCCTTTAAGATTTGTTTAATTTCTAGGTGTTACCTACAATTTACTGAGGAGATCTGGGCCTCTTTGTTATTATGCCTGAACAGGCTCTTGGAGGTGACACTTCTCTTGGCTTTTTGACAGAGAATATGGATTTTCCCCTGCCACATTTCTATCTTTTGCTTTTCTCTACTTTGCATTTTCAACTCAAATTATTTATTTATTAACCTGTCTTTTTTTCCTCCTACTCACTGAAGTCTCTTTCAAACATCCATTTCTGCTCTTCATTCCTCCCATCCCACTTGCTCATTTTCACCAGCATTTGTCAAACACCCCAGCAGTGGCTCAAATACGCGGAGTGCTACTTTTTAATTTCTATTTATCAGCTGTGGTCCAGAACCCTACCATCGCTTACAGAGGCATTCCTCTCCGAGGCACATGTTTGGTTGTATCATTCTTGGAGGAAATGTGCCAAATCTGGGATCAGCATCAAAAATATTCTCCTACTGAAGGGAAGCTAAACAAACAAACTTGAGTAAGTGAGGAAGGAAGGGAGGAAGGAAAGGATCTGCCAAGTTTTTGGTAAGAGGTGACTTAATATTTCTGAGCTACAAACGCCTTAAACATGGGTTTTAATCTGAGAGCTGGCAGGCTCCCAGGGAAAGCTGCGCAGCCTGGCGGGCGGTGCTGCAGCTCTTTCTCCGCTCAGACACTTCGTTGTTTCAGCCCCTTTTGCAGCCTCCGAGAGGACGTTGCTCCAGCAGGTTTGCCCATTAGAGGGCATTAGAGGCCACTAAAACCCCCGAAGTTTGAACTAACTAGAGGAGAGGAAAACAATCCGTATTTCTTTTTGTTTGATACGTGAGCGGTGGGTTTGTATCCTTCCCATGGCGTGTATCTTACTGATTTACCTGACGTGCTGGATAGATTTCAAAATATGAAGAAACTTTTTCTGAAAGATTAAGCCACGGATTTTCTTTCATATTATCTTCCCAGTTCCTCCCTGACTGCAAATATGTTAAATATGAGCAGAGCACGCAAATGATCTGACTAGATTAATAGGAATCACAGATGGATGGATTATACTTTAGAGAAATTAGCGATTCTATACAAAATATTCACACTGGAACTTTTATCCCTGAAAGTCTAATCAACAAAGGATAATTAAAATCGTAGCACATTGTTTCACACAATCAATTTCTAAATGCGAATATTTCTGTTCCAGTAGCAATCTCATTTGGATGCGCAACACCAGGAGTTTAATCCCTGATACTTGATCTGATACAAAGAAGTAGTCCGTTATCAAGATGTCATAAGAGCGTGGATAGTCTAAAGGAACTTAATGGAACAGAATATTTTCTGAAACTGAGGAGGTTTATGCCATGCACTGGAAATGGATAGAGACGTATTAAGTTAGAGTCTGCCATTTGCCTTAGAGGTATAAACAAGCTCTTTGTCTAATCCTGGTTGAGGCTTGTTTGATCACAGTCACTCCCAGTGTACATGTTCATGTTCCAAAAACCACAGAGGAATGAGATCATTTTGCGTATCTCCTTTTTAATTCCCCTAGCAAGCAATGCCTTTCCCAGATATTGCAGTCATTTGCAGAGGTTAAGTTACTTCAATAATATAAAGCAGTATTTTAATTGTTCTGGATGACTAATCAGCTCAGCCTAGATTATCACATTGCCTCAAAGGATAATTCAAGGTTATCACTTCCCCTCCCTGAAATTCTGTTTCCTTACTCATTTATCATACAACAGGGGTCAAAACGAGGAGAGATTTCACAGGAGAGGAAGACCAGATAGACATTGTGACTTTAGTACTGACTGATGCTTTCCGGTGATCTCAGAGAAAGGGCAGGGGTTTTGGTGACAGAAGGAAAGCTGGAGGTCCAGAGCATCACTGGGATGAGACCAGGAGAGATGAAGATGTGGTAAGAGCTGCAGGCCGGGCATGAGCCTTCTGTGCTCTTTCACCATAAGGTGTTTTCATTAGATTCAGTTTTCCAGGCGAAGTGATTGTACTTTACTTCCTAATGGCACTCAGACACTTCAATATTGGTTTTCTCCTTCATAACAAATCAAGAATATTGCAGATCTCACAGCTCTGTTACTGGGAAGGTGCAATTAACTCCCCATTAACTCCCTATAGTGGATGCTACTATAAATCACATAAAATTTTACCTCCTTCTCCTGGCTGTGCTGTGATTAATTGGTTTTTATCTGTCCCTCATACTACTGCAGTGGGGCACAGCTGCCTGCAGCCAAGGCTGTGACGCTTTCTCCTTACAGGCTCCAGCTACCTGCAACAGCCTGGGCTTTTGACAAGGCTGTAATCAATCACTGTCAGAACCTGAGTATTAGGAGTAAACATCCTCGTTGTCCATTGTCTAAGCATTCATTAGTTTGTATTATTAATCAGTTCATACCTATTCTAAGCAGTGTACAAAGAAGAGCTGAACAGGGCACGTAGGGTCTGAAAAAGTCCTTTCCCCCCACAGACCACCTCAGACGTGGAGTTTGGCCTGGTGCACGCCGGCCTCCCAGGCTTCGGGGTCGATGCCACCCCGGCCCCCAGCCCCTGCTTTCACCCCACAGCTCCCAGGGCCCCCCCACACCCCTCCGCCTCCCACCTGCCTGTAGAACCAGCCAAACTGGATTCTGCTTTTGGCCCCCAAACCAGCCACCTCAGTGCCTGTTTCTGAGACCAAAAACCGGTCTGCTGAGCCTCTTCTCAAGTCCCAAAAATGCCTCACAGTCCCCAAAGCCACACAACTCCCTCGGCTTCTGAGCTCCACAATCAGCCACACGAATCTGTTTTCGAGCCCCAGGAACAGAAAACATTGTCTCCATTTCTGGCCCACAAAGCAGCTCACCCCGCTGCTCTCTGACCCCTCTGCAGCCCCCACGGGCGATGCTGGCTGGGGTGGGGGGATGATGATGTAGACACCCCCCAGCCCTGCACGCCCAGAGCCCCACGTGCAGGTTTGGGGAGCGCTGGGGAATTGCACCTCTCTGGGGGCATCACTTCATCAGTGCCAGTTCTTTTCTTTCTCCAGCCCCGTCAGCACCACAGGCCAACCCCCAGGCTGAGGGACCCCGTGGGCAGCCGTGCCCAGGCCCCCCCGAGCCCAGCGCAGCCTGGCCCAGCCGAGGGGTGCTGCAGGCAGTGGACGCCCCGGCTGAGCGCAGCTCCTGCTCCGGGCGGCCGCAGAGAATCCTGGCCTGGGTGACAGCCCGCCTCGGCTCCCGCTGGCCATGGTCTGGCTCCGTGGAACTTCACTCTGCACCCGAACTGCGCTTGAGGAGCAGGCGGCAGCACACGGTCATCTGCGTGGACTGACCAGGGATGCTCCGTAGCTTTGTCCTTACCCTGCCTGTGCCTCGGGACCTTTCAGCTGCTCACACAAACGGCTCCCAAGGAAAGCAGTCTTGGTTCTCCAGCCTGTGAATTTCTGTTTGGGGCCCTGACTCTGTTTCATCAGGAAATACCAAACCGTACCTGTTCCTTCTTATCTGTTTCAGTTTTTTGCAGCAGGCTTTTTGCCTTTGCTGCTCACTGCTCTCCTGCTGTTTGTGGGTATCCCTAAGGACATCTTATGCTCCATCCCCATTTAGAGCTGAATTCTCTGGATGCTGCAGCAATGCACTAGGTCCTGTGACCCGAATGCAGATTGTAAGATACGGTAGACCTCACATAAAGAATTTTTCTGACCGTTTCTCTTGCCAGAGCATCCAGCATCCTTCCCAGAAACTGGATATTCCTCCACGTGTAGTGCATTCACCCCCTGACTCAAGGCATGTTCCTATTCTCAAGCATTATGTGTCTATCTAAGGAATCCCTCTTAAATCTGTCAGCATTGTTGTCCGATGTCTTTTAAGCAAAATGTGTTGCACTTCCACACCTCCCTCACTCAGTAGCAAAGCCAGCTAACCTGCTACAGGTATGTCTGCCTGGGGACATGGAAGCTCTTCCTGCCTGTGTTTTGCTGGACAATACACATTCACTCTCCTTCCAGCTTGCTTACAGCCTCCATCCACGCCACATTCTGCAGGGTGTCACCTGCACAGTGTTTCCACTGTAAGCCATGCTCCTTCCAGGTAATGCCTCATCCTTCCTTCATCAGGCAGGATTCTTTGTCAAATCATATTATATTTGCTTGAGTGCTTGTCTTCATAAAGCTTTCTAGTGCCTCATGATCAGCTGTGTCAAAGGCTACTCACCCCCAAACAAACCTACCCCACAAGTCACAGATGAATGCCCATCACTCAGATGAACTGTGAAATTAAAACCAGTCTCAACTTGCACAATAAAAGACCGGGCCTGATACTTCTTTCCCCCTGACACTATATAAAGCCCTGTGTAATCTCCATTAACTTTAGTGGAATTATTTCTTGATCAGCTGATTTTAGATTATAATCACATCGTCCCAGAGCCAGGATTTGGATTCAGTAACATCAGCACATCGATAAAGGACGTCTTTTGTTGCAGTGTCCGAGGTCTAAGCTCTGCTGACACAATGGCATTCATACCACACTCCTGCTCCGTTCCGTAATGACAAAATGGCTGGCCTCAGAAACACTGCATTTACTTCTACAGGTACGAGCCAGTGCTTTAGCAGAGATCTGCACAAATTCACAGCTGGGGTATCTGTAGTGTTATTTTAACTTACTTTAAACACAGATGCTTGTGCAGGATGCAGAAATGCCACTGGACCAGCCCACTCACCAGTGCCTTTTTTCTCCTTCTCTCTCTTCTTCAGTAATCAGGTGTCCCAGAGGGACTGCAGGGGCAACGTGCCTGATGGAAAGAGAAGTCTTTAAGAACTGGGAGACTCTCAAGACCGGAATTTAGTTTTCTGCTTCTTAAACAACCTTTTTGTAAGCCTCATGTTAGCCTGTATGAATTTATGAATATAAAGACTCTTTGTTACCGAACAGTTTTTAGCAACTGCTGCTCTATTTCCTTCCCATGAGTCACGCTATTAGCTTACGCTGCCCTATTTAATTTCAACTGCTGCTTAAGCCCACACAAGGTTTTCTAAAATAAAAATTTGAAAAAAGCATATTTGAAATAGACATCGAGTGTCTGGAATGGATGGTATATGGCACTGCCCTGGGGATACCACACACGCTGCTTTGCTGGGCTTCCAACTAACGCTGACCAGCATGGGGTCCCCAGCTGCAGTGTCTTAGAGCTGCTGCTAAATGGGGCTGAAAAGTGAGAATGAAGCTTACCTAGGACAGAAAAGTAACACTACTACTAGAAAATCTGTAAGGAGAAACACAGGAAGGTAGACCCTAATCCCACTGAAATTAATTAGACTTGAGGGTCAGCCCTTACCTGCGTGATAGACAGACAGACAGACGGATGGACGGATAGATAAACAGGTATTTGCTAAATTTACAGATACTTGCTAAGCAACCAGGGGTTCTGGGTTTGCTTCTGTCTTTGAAGCCGTGCTATACTTGGCACTGCACGATGCTTTTACCAATGGCAAATTGTGACCTGACTGGCACTAATGTCAAGACCTCAATCGGAAGTAATAATGAACTGCCTGCCTGCTGCCTCCTAGTGAAGTTTTACATAAACTCTAGGAAGCAACACGGAAGCCTATAGTGTCACCTTCCACCATCTTTTCTTTTGTATAGATAAAGCCACAAAGAAAAGGGATAGTAGGAAGGATCTGTTGCACTTGTTGAGGGGTGTTTCTTGTTTCTGAGAACATTGGGCATCTAATTACTTTTTAATCCTTAAAGCACTGAAGGAGCCCAGAGCACGGCCTCTTGTGAACACCACCTTTACATCTGCACTTTCCTGGCAAACTCTCGGTTGGTATCCAAACATAGGTCCAGTCTTTCTTTTTTTTTTTTTTTTTTTTCATTACGGGTGTGATCTTGCAGTACTGCAAGTCCACAGATTTCCTAAATATCATCATGTGACTTAAAAGCAGCAGTGAAACAGAGAAACCACCTCTGCCTTACTCGCAGTCCTAACAGGGATTGAGAAACAGGAAGAAAGCATTCCAAAGCTGCAAAGGGCAGGGAAAAGTGCCAAGCTCTTCTGAGAGCATGTAGTATGACAGGAAAAGCCTGCTCCAAAAGAAAGGAGAGAAGGCAAGAGGGAAAAATGCTTCCTAGCTGGGAAGGGATCTGGAAGGGAATTGCACTTAAAATATTTTGTTGTGTTGGACTGGCTGAATCGAAGTGGTCAATTTATCTTTTCCTTCTCTATACAGAAATAGTTACACTGCTATAAAAGCCATATTTCTCTTCTGAAAAGCAAAAATATTATGCAGTCACATGCACATTTACAGCTGAGTAGCTGTATCTTTATCAGAACTTTCACTGGCACATTGATCTAAATTATTATTTTTTTAAATTACACCCTTTCTTGACACAGACATGGTAGCACAACCTTCAAATATAGACCAAAAGGGCATTGATTGAGCTGTCTGGTGAGATAGAAAGCTTTATCACACGAGCATGGGAGAGATTCTAATTGCAGTTTAAAGATTAGAGGCTGCACAGACATAAATTGAGCCTGAGTAAGTCTGCCCAGCATCCACGTGATGGCTTTACCACCCTTACACCGACGTTGTGTAACACAGCTCTACCACAGTGTGCTGCTTGCACCGCACTAGCTTGTAACTCACACTGAAACCTAAATCCCTTTATATTAGATGCTGTACAAATACAGATTAAAAAGAAATCCCTTCCTTGCAGCCTTAAAAGATGAAACAAGCAAAAGTCAAGAGGGCAAACAGGAGCACAGAGAGGTGCTATGACTGACGCGGTGGTCACGCAGCCCATCAGGAACACAGCCATGAGCACAGAGTCGGGCTCCGGGCTCCCAGAGCCCGTCCCAGTAACAATTGTCTCCACCAGATCCTCAGAGAACAGCTGAATTGTCTCTAGAAGAATGTAGGCTTGGAGCTTACCAGCGTAACTGAGAATAAACACTAAGCAGAAGCTTCTAATTTGGACACTGTGGCCACACAAAGAGTTTAGCCATTTTTAACTCACTGCTCTAGCAAGGGAAGGTCCTGTGTCCATCAGACCCCCCTCCTATTGCCGTGTCACGGACAGCAGCCCCGTGCGTTCCTGCGAACGCTGCCAGCACCTTCCAACTGCCCCGTAAACTGTGTCTGGCGCCACAGGACGTCTGTGCCGCGGGACACCGCGTCGTGACGGGGCGTGGAGGCCTGACCAGCCCCTGTCACGCGGTGCCACAGCACCGTGGCCCGCGCTGGCTCTGCCGCAGCACCCGCGGGGCACACCGCGCCGCCCAGGCCCTGCTTTCTGCTCCCAGGGAAGCAGCAGCACATGTGCTTGTGGGAATGTTCCTAAAAAGCAGTAAGAGGTATACACGTTGCCTAATAAAGACGTTTGGTCTTGGGCCATTACTTTTGTTTGCTTTAATATGTCTTTACACTCCTATTTATTCAAGTTCTCATTCCTATATTTACTTTAAGGCTCCTTTACACCACTCTTACTCTGTATGCACTGGGCAAACACAGGTGCATTCTCAGCGTAACATAAAATGCTCCATTGCAAATAAGCGAGTTCCCATTTTCTCTCCTTACTCATATATCTATTTCCAACATTTTCACAACCCATCAAAAATGGAGGCTAGAAGAGGTCTTAGAAAATTATTTTGTCCAACCTCCAGCTTCAAAGAAATCTCCGTTTAGCTCAAATTCTTCATCTTTTCTGCAGCCCTGCAGCAACCGGCCTGGATACAAACCGCCCAAATATTTCCAAGCTCAGTTCCACACCAGCTCAGGCCCACCCCTGATCTGTGCTCAAACACTCTTTATCTATACGCAAGCTGCCCTTTCCCAACTCGCTGCAGCAGGAATGCAGCCCGTCTGTTTCCAGGCAGAAGCTGTCAGCCACAACCCTGTAATTCCCCAACACGCTGACTTTTTTCTCTTCTTACTATGTTATTGATCTGCTTTACAGAGTGTAGGTAGTCTATCCCTTTCATTTTTCCTATTCAACTCAAGTTGCTTTTCTATAAACGGACTTTTCAGACAATTTATTTACATTCACAATGACACCCTTCAGGCAATTGATTTCCCTCTGTTTGCATAATCCCGCTAGTCCAGTGCCAAAACACAGATTTCATAAAAAGCAAAAAATACTCTTCTGATTGGAAACATGTTCAGCAGTTTATTACTGACTACATCTTAGGCTGGCATAAATCACTGCACGTTTCTGCCTCCGGTCATGTATTTAAAGAAAAAAAAAACCAACAGTGGCTATTTCATATTTACAGAAGTGTATGGGACTGGAATGATTCGGAATATTCCCTGCTATCTTGTTACCTGTAACACTCAGAGTCAGGCCTGATTCTGACTTGTTACACGACTGCTTTGACATTCCTCTGGTCTCACATCAGGTTCCCAATCCCAGCCCTTGCTGATCGCACCAGGCAGGACAGAGTCACCTCCCCTTAGCACCTGCGGGGCAGCACTTTGGCTTTGAAGGGTGCAGCTCATCCCTCGCTGGGACATTCAGCTCTTCCAGCTCCTGCGTAGCCAATACTCCTGGGTGCTTTCCCTTCAGGCAGCCCCTGCTGCTGAGCAGCCAGGACGAGAGCAGCCTCTGCCTCGGAGTTGATCCCGAGCGCAGGCAAAAGCTGTGGGGAGGGTCCCAGAGACACGCTCTGCTCCTTGCCCGGGGCCTCTGCCCCAGCTTCTCCTCCAGCAGCCTCTGGCTGGAACGTTTATCTGTGCTGCACTTCTCAGGAGCAGGGACGAAAAGAAGGACAGAAGAATAAGCAACCCGAGAAAGGCTATTTTAAATCTGGCAGACAGGGCTTGTGGCAGCCCAGAACATCAGCTGGATAGATCCTCCTGCTCCATAGCAAAGTGAGGAGAATGTCCCCACAAGGTGGGTCTGTCACGTCGGACAGCCCTGCTCGGCCAAGAGCCGTGTGGTCAGCCCTGCCAGCCAGACCTCCGTGCCCCGAAGAGGAATCTTTCATCTTGGGGAGGGAAAGGGATCGAGTCTGCAAACTGAACAAAACCCAGAGGCGACTGGAGTACAGCTCTCAGCAGGCAAACGAGAGCTAAGCCACGTCTGCCTGGAGCCTGCAGCTGCACTGGCAAAGGCAGGGGGGCCAAGAGGCCTCATCTCTGCGAGAGCTTCTGGGCTGCCTGCCTGCGCTGCTCTGCGGGAGGAGCTGGAGGAGAGCAGAGGCCTGTGCCGAAGCACTGAATTTCTTTTCTGTGCTTTCACAACAGGGCGCAGGCCAGGCCCGGACCTTTGCTCAAACCCCACCAAGCACTGGCAGGAATTTGTGTCGAGGAGTGTCTCTGCATTCAGCCAAACAGCACATAGTGACTGCTGAAGGGAGTCCCTGTCCTCGCCCCGCATGAATACCAGCGTGTCACCAGGCCTGATTTTCTATTGTTTAACACCTCCGCATTAGTTTATATTATTCCCTCGTGGTGCATTTTGCTTGGATGTAGGCGGCTTCTAAATCTACAGGATAGAAAAGAAACTGGCCCAAAAAATAATTCAGCATTTAATTGTAATGTCTTGCCATTCTTCTAAGACGTAGCATCTCTGTCTCAGAGCACCATGCTGCCATTCCTGAACTGAAGTTTGGTTTAAGTCTGGCCTTAATGACTTATCCAAATCCAGCTAGGAAGCAAGTAGACAATTTAGGAAGAGAAACCAGCACTTCTGATTGTACTCCTGTGCTCTGGCCACAAGGCCTGCTATCCTCTCTGATTTTAATGAACTAATAAGAACGTTTTTAACCCTGGTTATAATGAGAGACTTAGTGTTTTGCACCATTGTTAATAATCGGATATAATTACAGAGCAGAGCGAGGGAATTGAAGCCAAAGGAATACCAAACAGCTCAGTGACATCTTTCACTGCACAGTGGAAAAGAATGTCATTTCAAATCACACGGAAACGCTGCCTGTGCCTGCCAGGCACCAGCTCCTGCTGCAAGGAGCCTGAACGCCTTCA